TACTATGGTTAAGTTGAGGTAAGATTGGGCTAAAAAATCCCTAGGATATGTTAGATTGATATCCAGGGATCAACTATTTGTGAAATAGGGTCAAAATCAGACATCTAGCCACTAAAACGATTGCCTAGGGCAAAATAAGAAGGCATTCAAAGATTAGCAATTAGATTTGAAGAGCTAGCTTAGAGCTTATTTCAAAGACGTAAGGCTTTTTTTTTGTAGGGTTTGATTTGACTTTGCAATTATTATTCAAAATCAAGGCTAACATTCTTGGCTAGTTCGTAAAATTGGTATTACATCTTTGATTTAAAATTTGACAATATTTAGTCAATTGGATGTACTGAGTGTATGTAAAATTTTGTAATAATCTAATGGTGCAATTGAGAGATATCTAGATTTTAGTATAATAAGGTATCAAAAGTTGGCAATTTGGAATTGAATAGGATATCTATGATATTTTAAGATCTTTTAGTTAGATCAAAATACAATTTGGCATGGTGTTAGAAGACTCAAAGATAAAGCTACATATCAATTTTGAATTGAAGTTAATAGTTGGAGAAGGAAAAATTACTACTAGAACATTTGCATCAACTTTCAAGTTGGTGGCCAAGTAACATTAGTGTGGTTTTTGGATGTTTTCTCACAATCTGTAAGTTGGATTGGAGTGAAATATTTTTGAACACATGCAAGACTTATGGTGGAATTTGTGTGCAAAATTATGCTCCAAGTGGATAGTTAGATTAAGAGCTATAGCTTACTAATACTTATTGATTAGAATTAGGGCTTACAAAGAAAAAAAAAATTACCTAATTATAAAAGTAATAAGGTAATTGGAGTTTATGTATGGTTGAGATTACTAAGAAGAGTATTTTTGAGTACTTTGTATTAGATTTAAGGACTTTTGGATTAAAATTCAAATTGCATTCTTCTTATAAGAGTGAAACATGGTAGGATTCTTGGATACTTATAAAATACAACTTCACCTTCCACAGCCAGATGCCCAATGCATTTCCAAATAAGACTACATGTAATATGACACCATGCCAATTTTCTATTCTATAGAACAATAATAATAAGGACAAGTTTAAAAATTCTTAATAAAATATTATCATTGATAAACTCAAAGGATTATTTTATGTTTATTCTTTCTTTGTTGAAATTGCTCAAGTACCTCCATTTGATGTTGTACAAGAATTATTTGCAGAGAATCAATAAGATCTACATATAACTCCCTCAAAACTAATGCCATCAACCACAAGCATAGCCATATTCAATTAATTTAAGAAATTATCAAGCAAATCACCTTATTCTACAAATAAAGATACAATGATCAAACAACAAATCCACAATGCATTAAAAATTACAAACTCATTAAAGAAACCTTGATGAACATCATTTGCAAGTAAGATACCTCACATATAAAGTAATATGTATGTATGTATATATATATAAGTCCTAGATTGGTTCTTAGGATTTTTACTCTAAGTAGTTCTCTAACGGAAGTGTTAATATTCTTGTTCAACTGATAGAATTCATTCACGTTTATCTATTCACCCATAGAGCTTCACTGATTGGCTAATCAGATGACAATATGTATACTTAGACATTAAGTATGTATAAGATACTTTCCTCGTGTATATCACCCTCTCTCTAATTTTGATTTACTCATAGCAATCATCAAATTGTAATAGTGCTTTGATCAAGCAACCAGGTCACTTCAATACCACACACTTGATTATGAGATTTTTCTTGCTACACTCTTGTAATTAGTGTGTAAAATCAAATAGTGTGTATTTCCAATTAGTGTGATACACACTGTAAACCAGACACTCATGTCGTGTCCCAAAGGCCCTTGGCAAACAGTATGATACACACTAATTACGGATGTCGGTGTAGCTCTCTCTTCTACGACGTCGTCGAGGTCGGACACACGTTGTTGGGCGTCCGTGGACTATCTTAGAAAAGATATCGCGATCGTTCCGACGCTTCGATCGATGGGTGTTGTCTAGAACGCGATCATCCGTAGCGCGTTGCTGGAGTCTCTTCGTGAATACGTTGGGGATTTTCGCAGTGTCTTGCTCTCTCTGAAATTCACACTGATCCTTCCAGAGGTCGGAACGGAGCTGGTTGATCCTTAGATATTCAGCTACAGCCTGTGCTTTGCGCAAAGATCACACCACCGAAGAATGATGCGATGATCGACAAAACAGGGTCTGCAATTCTCCACCTGGGACGATCGAAAAGATTTCTTTCCTCCAGAGATGTTGATTTATACTTCGACTCACAGCTTCGGCTGCGTATCGTGATTGTATTTGTAGATGTATATTAGAGACTGTGTTCAAAACAATTAAAGACTGTATTTCCATTCTTTCCTTTCAAAATCCAATTAACGAAAGATTTGGGCCAGAAATATTTAATGTCATCAGTTTCAGATACAGATTTTTGCGTTGAGGTCCCAAAATAAGAAGAAAAAAACATATGTGAAAGTGCTGTACGCCGTTGGGAAGACAAAAGTCTAGATTTTATTTTATTGTACTTCATTTTCTTGAAGATTGCAAGCAGAAATTCACATCTGGAGAAAGTTCTTGTGAAATCTATTAATCTTTGCTGACAGAAAAGTAAAATAAATCGCTTCTATACATTATGTTCTATTTATTAGTTTATTTTATTTTATTGTATAGTGAAGTAATTTACTTCTGAATTGCCGCAATAAATGTAACCTTCTCATAGTGTCAAAAAAAACCTTTGAAACCACTAGAAAGAATGCACCGATTTTGAAGACGAAAGCAACAAAACCTACCACAGATTGACAAAAAACAGGTTCTGGCAAGGTGGGAAATTAGAGTTGCATTACTTACAACGCCAGTGTCGTCGTTGCTTTGTCGCAGGTTCTACTTGCACTAGCTAGACTGCCGCAAAATTTGTTTGTAACTAATGCCAAGATTGTTCCCTTGTTTCCAGTGCAGGAAATCATGGTGTCTTTTCTTTGTTTGTTTGTTTGTTTGTTTATTTATTTATTTGTTGTTTGTTTGTTTGAAAAGTGAGCAAATAAGTACATCACGTCTTGCTCCACAATCCATGTCTGATAAATCCTGACCTAAAAACATCGTTTTTAACTCATTGCACTTGTGTGTCCTTCCGCTTCTGCTTCGCCGAATATTGGTGGGACTCTTTGCTGCAGACAAGACCCACTTGTGTTGTTGCATACAATTCATTCAGTATCACGTAAATCAATAAGTGTGTTTATTACATGTGCATACATATATGCATGATTTTATTCTCAGGGCTTGTCGAAGTGCATTGTTAAACTTAAGTGTAATTTTCAGAGTTTCTGTAATTGGTTATTGATTCTTTAATTTTTTAATTTTTTAATTTTTTTTGGCACTTTATGAAGAGTTTGGAAAACTTTTACCTGAGTTTCGATCACAATTTATGTATGCTGGTTGTTGAGCCTTTGTTGGATTTGGTTATATCTTTGTTTTTAAAGATCTCATTGGATGGTTTAAGTTTAGAAGAGGGAGGGAGTCTTGAATAAAAGATCAAAAAGAGTTTTGAATGAGTTTTTTGAGCAATACATCAATATTTTATTACTTTTGGTTGTTAATGTTTTATCAAACATTTTTACTTTTGGAAGTTTGTGTATTGTATTGTCTTTGCATTACAGTTTTAGCTGCTTATTAGCTTGTGGATTTAAAAGCAATTGCTTTTCAGTATGATCTTTACAATGATCACAATAATATAAAGTTGCTAAGTTCAAAGCTTGATAATTTAGGTTCTTCATCAAAATTTCAACATCCTTTTGGCAATACTTGAACAAGTTTGTAACAATTTTTTAGCATTTTATAAATTGAATGACATACAAAAATAGTCAGGAAAAAAAAGCTCAATTCCCTAATGCTTAAATGTGCATTAGGAACCTTAAAACAGTGTTTTTGCTAATAGCATTAGAGAGCATGAAAAAAAAAAAACATTTTTGCAGAATGATGAGTCTTAAGTTTAAATCAGCCACGATAAAGCCAATGATAAGGGTGAAATTAATGTCATAAAGCATATTTGTCTTTATAGAAAAATTGATTAAAATATCATATAAAAATAATTACATATTGTAGTGCCGTGATTTTTTAAAACATGTTTTGATTTATTTCTATTCTTGAATTCAAGTTAAAATATTCATGAACATGATTTTTTTTGTCGAAATAGAAATTTTCTTTGCATAAAAAGAACAGAAATTCATGTATATAAATATACCATATATAGATAAATTTTCATATTTTCTGCAAACATTTTAAACAGCTATTATTATTGTTGTTGTTTTTATGTTTTAATTTTATTTAATTTAATTTTTAATGTAAGGGGATTTATCATGGATTTATCAACGGTTTCTCTTGCAACAAAATGTTTCATATGATAATAATTTTCACAAAATTTTCTTTATTTTTAAAATATTATATTATTATGTTAGTTTTGTGACATATGTTTCAAAGCGTGCATTATAGTTTTTGGAAACTCTTTTTAATAGGATTTTATTTTTATTTATTTTTATTTTTATTTAGATTTTGTAAACTCATGCAATCAAAAAGATTCCTTTAATTCTTCTACACAATTTCTGTGTAGATTGTTGCATCAATTAAAAAAATCCATGTTCAATTTTGTATTACCATATGTTAATGATCTTTCAAAACATGCTGACTACATTGTATACAATTTATGATTTTATAGTTTTTTATAAAACCTATATTGGAGATAAAGTAACATCTTTTCTAAATTTTTATTCCACTCAGAACAAGTCCCTCAAACAATGAATAAACCACTATTTACAAATCCAGGGTAATTAAAATTTTGTTCAAGAAATGTGCTTTAACACAACTCTTCAGGACATTATGCAGAACACACACTAACAATGACAGTATTAGCAGAGCTATTTGGTGCAAACTGCTGACAAACTAGTCAACAAAAATGCCACATAAATGACAACACTCTGCAGTATTGTTTCATCCTAGCAACGCACTATTTTCACATGAAGAACCTCCTTCCACTGCTTCTGAACACTGTGTAATAACTTCCACTTTCATGTGGTTTTAGCCACATGTAGAATGCAAGCACAGTTGGGTTTTCATTTGACTAACTGCAGATATCAGATGGCCATCACTCAACCTCTGGCCTCTCAGCAAGGCGTTGATGTGGAGTAGCAAAAGCTCATTTTGTCGTTGGTTTACCCACATAATAGAGAAGATCATGTCAAGATTGTGTTGCTGAGCAAGCAGTTGAAGCAGTCAGGAGAGAAGCTCACATGGTAGAGCTAGCTATGGTGTTCGAAGTTATGGCTGAGGTTCTTTGTCAGATGATTGGAGTCATTTTCCTTTTGTTTCGGCAGTTGTGTGATTCTTCATGTTTCTTTTCATGATTCGTGATTCTCTTCGTGTAGAATAGATGTGGGCATGGGCGGTTGTCGCTCCAAACATGAGCTCAATCATATTGCTTCAAGAGCTTGCTATGGCAAGCTGATTTATAGCTTTGGGTGAGATCAGTTTCTAGAGCTGCTCACATGGGAGTTTTTGTTCGTGGGCTCTTGAAAGTTCCGGTGAAATCATAGAAATGTTTTTCTTGCCAACACAAAATTTCGACATATCCTCACCAGCTTCAGAAATTAGTCGTGAAATCTCACAGGAGGTAGTTCTATTGTGCAGAATGCTCTGGGTTTGATTTAAGAGGAGCTGAATCTGCACATGACCAAGAGACGAATCGAAACCCTCAGTGTCAAGAATTGGACAGGAAACATTTGTGTGCTGGTTTCCAGTTCGATTGTGCGGCTGTTGCGCAAGTTTTGTTGCCAATTGTAATGTATGGAGAGAGGAAAAGAAGCCTCGTATTCCCAGAGCTGCCGTCATCGGTTGGCGAGCCGGTTTCCAAGGTAAAGATTCCAACCCTCTGCTTGTTGTAACTCTGAATATGAGTTCCCCACCGGATGTCCTTGGTATCGATTGCCATATCGTGAGGCTTTCGTGGTGAATCTGACGTCGCCATTGCACAATATTTAGTTTGTCTCCCCAAAAGCAGAGAATCTATACTAACCCCAACATATTTGAAAAATACAAAGAAGACCTCACGAGGGAAAAAAGTTTGAGGTTCGAGAAGGTGCGTTCTTCGACTTAGTTCCAATGGCAACGAACACTGCTGAATTAGGTGCTCCTGTGTTTCTGTATCAGTGCAAAAGTGAGCACGTCAGTAATGGTTGTGGTGCTCCTAAGCCTCCTCACCTTCAAATGGACGGAGTTTATGAGCGTCGCAAGCTATGCATACAACAGTGCAACATTCAACTCGGTGAAGCAAGTTGGAGATGAGGATGAATTCGCCTTCGGTATTCTTGGAGTCCCTTGGTGCAGGTAACCATTGGTCGCTTTGGAACTTCACTTTGCTTTGAAACTTCACTTTGTTGCAGATATCCTGTCTTGAGCTCGCCCGAAATGTAAGTCTACCATTGCATAACTAATCTCTGACATTTGTGTGATTGTAATAACTGGAAACCAGGACAAGGACAAAGAACATGGTGAACTGGACCAGAGCCGAACTTCTCCAAGAATTATTCGTGTTTGTAGAGATTTATAAAACACGACCTATTGTCAACAACTCTAATGGAATGGGCTTCGACCACTCTTTTGGATTGTGGTTCATTGCTCGAAAATTGCAGCCTGTGCTAGCGATCGAGAGCGGTGTGTTCAAGGGGCATTCGACGTGGGTACTTCGGCAAGCCTTACCAAATGTGCCCATAGTTGCAATAAGCCCTAAACATCCAGGGCATTATGCTAGAAAAGGTTCCGCATACGTCGACCCTAACTGCCAATACTTCACAGGTAGGAAGTTCACCGATTTTGAAGATATCCATTGGTCTTCAGTGTTAACTGAGCACAACGTTACAGACGCTTCTGCCGTGCTAATTTTCTTCGACGATCACCAAAACCAGCTTAGACGGTGAGTCCAAACAATGTGATTTGGGAGACTGATTTGGCTCAAAGGTCTTATTGGACGCTGTTTAAAAGAGAATAGTGTGGTGATTGTATTCATTCCTAGAGACCCGTTTTAGTGCCATCTTTTCGAACACTGCAATGAGAGAAATGAGCCACGCTTAACATTCACGTTCAGTTGTCTCAAACGAAGGCTTGATCAGCTGGTTTGGAGTACAGAATTGAGGCGGTTCGCAAATTTGGCTTCCAGCACCTGGTGTTTGAGGACAATTACGACACAGGCACAGGAGATCACTACTCAATGCGCCAAATCTGCGACCAGTATCATGTTCCAGGTGACTTTTCCACCCTGAATCCTGAACTACCACTAAGCTTCCTCTGCTGATGTGTATATTGTATAATTTCCTGTTCATATCTCAGGGTCTCATGGACCAAAGTCATGATAAGAAATAAAAATAAATAAAAAACTCGCCTCGACCTTTCATGACACGCGAATGCTCTGCTCAAGGTGGAGGCCACGATTGCTCCGACGGAGAGCACGAAGCGCTAGTCCGGATGCGAAGGCAAGGGCGCTGGGAGAAGGCCATCAACATCAGTGAGCTCTGTGGGGATGACGGCGACTGGTGGGGCGTGCAAGGCTATGCTCGGGATAATTTCGGTCACAAGCATCGCAAGATTCCTCACTCTCAACACTTCGAGAATGGCAGGTATGTTGAAGAAATCCTTGATGCTTATTGGGAGGTGCCTCCTGCAGCTAGCCCGCTCCTCACAGATCAGACTCGCTATGACCCAGCAAGGACTGTGTCTCCCATACTCCTCAGTGGGGACCAGGCCCTCTTTCAAGAGCTTGGCCTTGAAGACGTCCCCAGAAATGCCTTCAATGCCTACACACAAATGGCGTATGTAAAGCTTCTGATACCAACTGATCCTGAAGAGGATTTATTATATCAGCAGGTTCCCAGTGATTGAATGCTGCAAAACGCAGTACCTGCTTCAGTAACGTGTGTTCAAATATTTATTAATATTTTATTTTGTTGTATTTAGTAATTTTTTGTTGTTGATATTGGTTGGATAATAATAATTATTATTGTATGAACAAATTTTTATACTATGAATATTCAAGATAAAAATTGGGAGTCAATAAGCACATGTAAGATATTGGTTTTAAAATAATTTATAACAAGCTATATTATTTTAGACTTATAAATGAAGAGATCTTTTTAATGATAGCAAACCACTTGATGTGTCATTTTTTCTCCTTACATTTACTACTTGATTTTAATAGCATATATCTCTAATAACATATAATCTTTTTGATCATTAATTAAGTTAAATATTTTAACATGTTGTTTTCCAACTTATAAAAGTTACATATGTATATGTATATATATATATATATATATATTTTAATTATTTATTTTCTCTTACAACCATCTATTATTACTTTAACAATTTATAAATGTAGAGCAACATATAGAAAGGTTTACTTAAAATTCTGAATCAAATGCTTTTTGTCTAATAATTCTAATAAGAAACATCCATACTTATTGGTGGTCTTGAAATCATGTTTAAAAATACAAAGAATAACATCAATACAAATCATACTTCTAAATAGATTATATCTACAATACATTCAATATGATTTTAAAAAATCTATTTTAAAATATTAGAATGTTTATAATTATATATAATTAGGGAAATGATAAAGTAACCCAAATTTTTATTAAAGAAATCCACTCTATCTTAACATCATTGCACCTTTGTAGCTTCCATTCCTATTCTCAACTATTCTCCATTTCCAACCGTTGCTAAGGATGGGAGCAGGAGACTAGAATCATCAAGAATGGGGGCAATGGTTGGAAACAAGGGAATGGCTGAGGATAGGGATGGGGTTAAATGGTACAATGATGGTTTAAACATATAAGTTGATTTAGTAAAAATTTGGATTGCTTTATCATTTTCCTATAATTTTACACACACACACACACACACACATACACAATATAATTATTTTTTTCAAAATTTATGCCAAAAAAATTAATAAATATTTCGTTTTGATTCTTTCAATAATTTCTATATCTTTAAACATCTTACTGGTTAAAAGCCTAATATTATTCAACATCAATTCATATTTATTCTATTTCAGAAAAGTGATCCAATTGCAATTGTAAAAGACAATCAAATCAAATGAACTATAGGTACTACTAAATTGGATCCAAATCCAAGTTTTACTTGGATTCAAAGTTAGTTGGTGAATTGTAAAAGGTTATTAAAGCTTGACATCTTTTTCTTTTTTGTTGCATTTTCATATGTAACATTTTCTAGTTTTTGATTTATGTGGCACTTGTGGATTCAACTCATTTTGATACTTGTAAAGTCAAGAAATAACAACTGCATGTATGTATGTATATATATATATATATATATATTAAAAAAAATTAAAAGTGACATTGATAAGAGTCGTACTTCAACCACTCTCTAAGAACCTTGTCCACGGCCACCTTTGACCTCTAATGCTATTGTTGAATGTCGTGCATAGAAGTATAACAATGTTAAAAAGCAAATCAACACTAATTTAGAGACCATTTTTTAAATCAAAATATCATAGTCCTGTCTGGTTTGTTTCACTTATCCAATCACAAAAGGAGCTCTGGCGATTATTTTCAGACACTTTGCGGTGGTTTCAATTTGGTTTCAATTCCTGATCACTGGTCCTCGACAACTTCGCATCTCATTGAGTTTCAGTTATGCAATGCTACATAGCAACCAAGGCATAATTGGCATTATTCTCACTTCGTTTTGTGAGATTTAGCAAATAGTATACCCAGTGCCCACAACTGGGTTGCAACGAAACCAGATGTTTACAGCTGGTCACATGGACTTTTACACAGGATTGCGGCATGCGCTGGACAGACTATGAAGCCGCCTCAGTTGCAGAAGATTTTAGAGCTCTTCTAAGATTAGGGCGATGTGCATGCTACAAACTGAAGCGCGAGAAACTGATCCAGTCTCCAGTTCGGAAAGGAGAAGATATCGATTGCAGTCTTGCTGAGAGTGAAGACAGTATTCACAGAATGGTTAAGCTGCTGCCTCTGGAACTGCATCATTACGAACCCAGCTGCAAATCGTGGAAGAGACGTTATTGTACAGTTGCGCTTATTTTAGTTGTGCTTCTGAAGGCAGATGTGGCGACTGTTATGGACTCGGCCTATGTACAGCTTTCCCCGACCTTGGCCTTGGAACATCGCCCTCAAGAGTTGCAGGTCGGCTCCCGGACCCTCCTCGGCGCTTCGAGGAGAGTCGTGTGGTATCGCAGGACTTTCGACGTCGATTTGATTGCTCTCGAAATGTACTCATGTCGGTGACGGGGCTCAATGGTTTAGTGGCCATGGTTGTGTGAGACGCAGAGCCCAAGGATAGTCTAGAGCGTGGCCGGTGGGCCTTCTCGCCAAGGGGAGACTCTAAGGATGCCCCTCTCCTTGAGGAGGATTGGAGGAATTCCGTGGGGTGAAGCGGAGAAGTCTGCAACAGCATCTCCAGCGGAATGGGAAGCACATTGGTGTTGGCGCATTGCTTCCTATCAGCAATTGCATTTGAGCTTGCAGAGCAGGTGTGAAGAGCGTGGTGGTGGACCTGGAAATCCACTGTCGTCAATCCTGCAGCACATCCATGAACATCTCAAGGCGTTCAACGCCGCTTGAAATTGAGCAGATAGGAAACCAGAGATTGTCAAGACAGATCACGTGTGTTTACCACCGAAATTCACTCATTGGAGTATGGTCATGGCCAGTTTGCACCTGCAAGATGATACACGAGAACTGGAGTTGAGTCTTACCACCGTGGCCAGTAATAACAGCTGCTTGTTGATGTTTGAGCACAGGCTGCACCGATCCTCCTTGCCCATAAACTGGGTTGAATTTGCCCGAAACTTCAAGAAACTTCTCAGAGGTAATCTCGTGGACGCGCCCGGACGCAGAGTGGAGGTTTATGTTCCTATCGTCGCAGATGATTCTGAAGGTGGCTGCGCTGCCTTTAGAATTGTTGCCTACGGTCACGCATCCCTGCAAGCAAGTGTCAAGGAAGAGACGCAACAGATTCGCGGGTGACAACCGTGTCCTTAGCCTCACCCTGAGAATCTCAAGTTTGACCCGTGGTGAAGTTTGCTGCCTCTGAAACGATTTCTTGTGGCTATTCAGATCCATCGAGAACAGTGGGTTTCGCGAGATCGACTATCCTGTTGCGAATTGACTACCACAAGTTATGATAGAGGTAGAACTACCGCATGGGATTTGGACCTGGAGGGTCACTATACCAAATGACCCCTGAAAAACATTGACACCACAAAACTTTATGACGATTCTCAAGAGAACAATCAATGCTACGTATGCGAATCACCAGGTGGGGCAAGCACATCACACAATGCTAGCCATGTTGCAATTACTCCACGCCGTGGGAATACTCTTCACAGATCGTGTCTTCATTCTCTTATGCCGGAAATTATAGGGACAGGCGTTCTTTTTTAGATCAGCTAGTCAGCTAATGCTCCGGCCGACAATGTGCTCTGGGACTCCGACGCAGGAGGTGCCGGAAACTGAAGGAATCATCTAGCGTAGATTGCAAAGTAATTAGGTGCATACAATCATGTAAGTGACTCGGCTAGACCTATTATCTAAATATATCTGACTTGAAGCAGAGGATACTAGGATACTGATCGCCATGGAAAACCGGCGTTAGAAGGGGCATGTATGACGGAACCACATGCCTGTAATATCCAAGCAAAACAGCCGTGCAGATTGCGGGGAGTCTCAGCTCCCGAAGCGCCGCATATGAGTACCAGAATGAATGTAGAATGTTACCTCTGACTTCTCCCTGGTACTCGGAATCCATTATCAATCCTGAGAAGCCGTGACAGATGGGTCTCCTTCGATGACCGACGTGTGGTAGTAACAGACAACAGTGGGGGGTTTAGAAACATCAGTTGTCGATTACGAAATATCAGCTGTGAAATGTTTCCCGCAATCCTCAACTTTCGGTAGGGCTGATTTATAGCATGAGCAACTGATGCATCTACAAGAGCAAGGCGTGTGTCGCACATTTTCATCCGTTATCAGAGCTATATCAAACCTTTCAATTTAATAAGAAACAGACAATTTGATCCAACCTCATCATCATCAGCATATCCCTCTCAAAAATTACGTAGTTCATAAACCAGTTATTCACTCTTCCATGCCATGATTCCAGGATCGTAACGAGTTTCTCAACTGTGGGTTACGAAGTGTTCCTAAACTTGCGCTGTTTCTGTTGGAAAGTTGAATTTGAATGGTTTCTAGTGAAAGACAGTGTGATGTCCTATATTTGCTAGTTGAACAATTCACATGTACTCGATCTGTTGAATCGTTAATGTGCAAGTTTACATCAAATCATGTCTCGAAGTTAACCTTGAATAGAGTAAGACGCCCTTTACAGTCCACCCTCGATATGTGTTATCCCGATAAGTGTTAAAATTGCATGTGCTCTCCAAAATTCCCCTCTCCAAAAAAAAAAAAAAAAATCCAAAAAATACACAGGTAAGTGTTAATTGTTAAGAGATTTTATAAAAATTATGCTCCCCTCTTCAATGAATTCAATGAATTGATGAGTATTAATTTAGATGAAAGTAAGGTTGTGAAATTTTATAATTTGGATAAAAAGTAAGGCTATGAAATTTTATAAGTTGGATAAAATTGAATTAGGACTATCATGTACAGATCATCATGTTGTAGTTGGCATTTATAGTATTGTATATAGCTCATAGTATCTTCACACATTATCCATTCCATATCATGCAAACATTATTAGCCACATTAGAAGAAAGAATTGAAAGAAGTTATTAATTTATTGGAACAATTAGCATTGGTATTTAAAGAGAGTGAAACTAGACCCACAACAAATGGACACAAGTTCATCAATTATGAACTGGAATTTGATCTAAACAATCTCTATAGTCAAATTGAGGAAGAAATCATATGTATGCTTGATGAAAGAGATGATATAATTCACAGTCAACCCATTGAAGAAGCTAATAATATGCAAATTAATGATGTGGTTGTAGATAGAGTAAGATTTAAGGATATTGAAAGTGCATTAGTGACCTTCAAACAATATTTGGAACAAAGGCCTACTAATATTACACCTGCCATTCAAAGCATTCAAATACTTCAAAAGAAATTAGAATCTTAGTGAATACAAGAATCTCATCAAATTACTTTAGATTTGTTCTTTTTTTATGCTTAGATAGATGATGACATTCATATCTTATATATTTTTATCCTTTATTTATATAAATATTATTATTTTAATTCCAAAGATATATAAGTATTATTCACATAATTGTTATAAATTATCTCTTCTAAAACCATAGAGTTTAGCCAAGTTTCAAATAACAAAGATCAAGTGAACTCTTTAATGACTTTTCAATCTGATTCACTTAACAGAGAAAAAATTTATTGAAAGAAGATTAAGGCTATGAACTAATTATAGCTTTCACTCATTGACATGGTTAAGCCATTTGTATTTAGGATCTATGATCTGATAAAGGCTTGGGAGATACTATCCAATTTATATTCTATACATACCATTACAAATGTGATGACTATATTAAATTAGTGGGAGAACCTTGCAATGGCCAACAGTATGACAGTGGCATCTTTTATGCAAATCATATACAAGATTATCAATGGTGTTAAAAAGACAAATAATCTCTCTTAAATATTTATTATTATTCATAAAATTCTAAAGATTCTACCATGAGGATTTAAGACATTGGTACAAATTCTTTGAAATGAGTATACACCACCTATTCTTACAAAGTTAGCTAGTTGATTATAGATGAAAGAAACTAAAATGAAACTTTAATTCTATTTCTACAAAGATACTCTTGTTTTTTGAATTAAGAATTCAATCCAACGTTGCTATCAATAAGGTTTAGTTTTCAATCCTCAATAACTAGATTAACACAATCACCAAAGAAGAATCAACAAACTTAAGTATTAGCAATATTACAAGGTCAGACACCTTACTTGAGATTGCTTGGTACCGGCACCAATTCTTGTTAAAGAAAGAAATTGATTTAGATTTCATGCAAATCTTCTCAAAAATTATTTTACTAAGTATTACAATCCAATTCTAGTATTTTTAAAAAATGATTAGGTCATCAATAGTCGGGCCTCAAAATATTTTTTTTGAGGATCTTGATTTGTTTTCTTCTTTTGAAAAGCTTTTGCAATAGGTCACTATTACTATAGCCAATAGACACACTCACTTTGTCAAATAATAGGATGAAGTTATCTTACAAAGTAACTTAGATATCAATATATCACACAATGTTTATTATATTCTGGAATTGAAGCACAATCTTATGTCAATGGGGCAATTTATTAGACATAATAATAATATTTTGATTTTTGGAAGAGAGAACTATGGAATTCTTATGAAAACACAACCTCCAAAACTCATCATTGTAGGATTTTAGAATAACATATTTTACCTAAACAAGTTAATTTATAATAGCAACCAATTAGTTATGGGATGAAAAAATAACTTATTCAATAATAGGAACATTAATTTTTCAACTTTAGTATTGTGCAATAAGATAGGCATTTCTAAATTTTAAATTTTGAGTAACTCAAATTACCTCACTTATTATTGGTATTATCAACTTATGTACATAGACTTCACAATTCTATACTAAATAACATCAAAAGGTAATCTCTATGGCATATCTAGCTATATAACAAATCTTATACTTTATAAGAATGGTCTTAAAAAGAAGTAGATTAGAAAACCAATACCACAGAAATCAATCATTCACTCAAATCAGCTGCTAGGCCTTATCTATGTAGACATCTATAGATCCTTCTTGGTTCCTTCAATTACAAAGAATAAATATTTTATTTTATTTATTGATTACTATAGTAGAAATATGTGGATTTATTTTTTGAAACAAAAAAGTCAAATTTTTGAATTTTTTTATAAATTCAAAATAATGATAGAAAATTCAAAATAAACATGATCATTTTTAATAGTTTTGCAAACAAATAGAGGCGGAGAATTTATTTCTACTATTTTTTTAGAATATTATAGATTTTATAAAATATTATATCAATTACTCAAGATCATATTTTAGATCAAAATAGAGTAGTAGAAAGATAAAATAGAACTACTTTAGAAATGATAAGAATGATGCTATTATCGAGTCATGTTCAAATTTTCCTATGGCTTAAGACAACCAATACTATAATTTATTTGCTAAATAAAACACTTATTAGAATAAATAAGAGTAGATTATTACTTGAACAACTCTTCTTTGACAAATATTAAACAACCTTCTAGATCAAGTAACCTAGAATGCACTCACATGCCTCAAATACATCTATACACTTCTAGCATGTAACTAAATTTAGTTTAAAGAAAATGATGATTTTATTGAATATTACTAATTTTTTAATGTGCACAATATTTAAGGCCCCATACACATTCACAAAAAGACAAGTGTATTAATTAGATCTTCTATTTAATAAAAGTAGCAAAACATTTACAAGGTTGTATGTGTGGATTGAATGTATTTTGAATATCTTTTGACCTTGTTCTCAATATGTTATGGGCCTACGTTTTTTTGTTCTCTTTTATTTTCTAAATAATAGATTTTTCTTTACTCTTTTCTAAATTAAGTAATAAATTTTTTCTACAAGAGATAAATAAAGTTCAAAACTTCTTTGCATCTTCTTCTTTAAGTGACCATCTCATTGTTCTTTCTTCCTCCCCTCTTTTTTTTTCTCTCCTCTTCTGAATAGAATAAAAGAAATTTGCAAGACAGAACTTGGTCTAGGCCAAGAAGTAATCTCATGTGGATCTACTTCCAACCAAACTGCCACTATCCTCTTATTGCTTGTTTTCCAATCCTTTCCTAAATTAAAAAATAATTAGCATCAATGTTATGCACATCCACAAATTCACAAGGAACAACTTTTCAATTTAGAAATTTCAAATGAACATCCTATTTTGCACAAAGAAGTTATTGGAAATAATGAATACAAAGACCTTAAGAGAATCCTTCACATATAAAGAGAAATGGGCCAATAAGAATACAACTTCTCAATATTTTTAAATTTTTGCCATTGATTAAAAAAAATTTATGCGTTGGTTAATAGATTGCCATACTTCTAACCATATGTGGCAAAAATTGTGCATAGTTCTTGAACAGAATGCAATAGAGAACATCTAATTATTATAACAATTATTTTTTGACATGCAAATGAAGTTGGATATTGAGATGATTGATCACATGAGCTCTATCAAGAAATTTTTATACCAACTCAATGCTTTAGGAGAGTCCATTTTGGATCTAGCCATAATCTATAAGATCTTAAGTACTTTACTATACAACTTCAACTACCTTCTCTCAACATAGAAATAGTATTCCAAAACAAATAAGCAAACAATAGAAGCTTTCATACTATATTTATTAAAAGAAGAAAGCCAAAATAAGATTTTAGAAGGCATGAACAAAGATGAAAAAAATCTTTCTTCACCAATTAAGACCAAGGCTAAGTTTCAAATCTAAATCAAAGACCTCTTTCTATTAAAGAAAAAAAGAGGTAATTT